TTAAGCCTGGAAGCCCCGGAAACCCAAGCAACTTCCCGGCAACTTTCGGCTTCCTTTCAACTTGCAGGTGCTCGTGCCTGGCCCAGGCTGCTTGAAGGAGGCGACCCGACAGCACTCCGGGCTTCCCCTCCGCTGCACGGCTCGGGGCCAGGCGCGAGCACCTGCGAGTTGAAAGGAAGCCAAAAGTTGCCGGGAAGTTGCTCGGGTTTCTGGGGCTTCCAGGCTTAAACTTTGGACAGGCAAAGTTTGCAGGCGGGAGCGTCTTCCCACTGAGGAGCGGGAAGGGTTCTGCCCGGAGGGTGGGCAGGCTGCTTGGAGGAGGCGACCCGACGGCGCTCCGGGTTTCCCCTCTGTGCGTGGCTCGGGGCCAGGCGTGAGCGCCTGCGAGGAAAAAGGACACTGCAAGTTGCTGGGAGCCGCCGTCGTGGTGAGCAGCTCGTCGGGTACATACGCGAGGAGGAGGGCTTTTAAAGTGCCGCCTGAGCAGGACCACCGAGCCGGGAAACGGGGCACCAAGGCAGGGCAAGGCTCCACCAGCAGCAGCCTAGCTTTAGGTGGCTCCAAGAAGCCCGCTCCAAGCAGCCCGACCGCTCCAAGCAGCCCACCTGCCCGCCGGGCGGAACCCTTCCCGCTCCTCGGCAGGAAGACGCTCCTGCCTGCAAACTTTGCCTTTGCAAAGTTTAAGCCTGAAAGCCCCAGAAAAAAAAAAGGCGGATCGGCGGGGACTCACCTTCGGAGAGGTCGCACTCGAACGTGATTTCGAACTCCCAGCCGAGGCCTTTGCAAAGTTCTTCTTTTCTTTCCTACCCCGAGAGCGCTCCGCACTGTTTTGCAGCTTTGGGGGCCACGCGGCGCAGGGCAATACGCCACGCCCACTGATTTTTTTTCAGGGGCGGGCCGGATTGGACTGACCAACGGGCCGGATGCGGCCCACGGGCCGTAGTTTGCCCACCCCCGTCTTACACATTGCTTAAATCTGCATGTTCCATTGAGATTTTTACAAGTTATATAGTTTCTGGGGCCTTTGATTAAGTCCAGTCAATTCACTGCATCACTATTTTACACTATTTAAATACTTTATCACAGAAGCAAGCTTTCCCGACTCATAATCCTTAGGTTGTGAATCTGTTGGACTTCACTTCCCATAATCCAAAGACAATACTGTTTATCTGACCAGACTTTATAGGAAGTGAGCAGAGGTGGGATTCAAATTTTTTAACAACTGGTTTTGTGGGTGTGGTTTAGTTAGTGGGCATGGCTTGGTGGTCATGTTACTGGCTGGGCATGGCCAACTCAACATCACTCACATCGAGGTATGCATCTCCTCGCCTGGCCTCTCTGTGACTGTGGGCATACTATAACAGTCGTAGGTATGAAAAACAGTCATAAATCACTTTTTACAATGGTCATTCAACACAAGCAAAGTACCAGCAAAGGAGGGGGAAAAAAAACTCCAGAGAAGTTCCAGAGACAGGAAGTCTAGTCCTGCCAAAAATGTAATAAGGGTTAACGGAGATGCAGTTTCTATAAGCAACACCAGAATGTTTCCTTCCTGCCTTCCTTACAGGATTAGGCCAGTAATTTCTTCTAACAACCGGTTCTCCGAACTGCTTAGAATGTTAACAACCGGTTCTAGCGAATAGGTGTGAACTGGTAGAATCCCACCCCTGGAAGTGAGGCCCAAGATACCTGGAGGATCAGGTTCAAGAAAACCTAATATAATAAAAATACCGAACTCCTTTTTGTAGATCTTTCAAGATTCAATATTACATACAAATGAAAACAAAGCTGGTAAAAAACCAAGATGATCATTTGCTCCTGGTTAGATGTGGAATTTTGTTTTTCTGATACCAAGGCAAATTGCATGATAATGGGCATAGATGCCATCAAAATTTGAGATGAAAGAAACACAGCTTCACATAAAACATCTGGAAAGCAAAGAAGTCAACCAAAACAGCAGGCCTCTCCAGAAAAGGAAGGAGCAGAGAAACTCTAGAAGCCTTCACCACTTTGACCAGAACCTCCTATCATCTGAAGTACATGGCTGTGCACATGCTTATAAGCAATGGCATGGGGTGGAGTTAAAAATGCTTAAGGCACAGTAATTTTGATTTTTAAGTACCACTGTGTTTTTAATTTGACTTTCAACTTGTTAACCTTTCTTAGGAGAATCACCAACCACATTTATATTACTGGCTATTGTTTTACAATGAACTTTTTAATATTTCCACATTAGACAAAATTTTTAAATTTCTTCATTAAAATTTGCCAGTGTTAGAAACATCAATAAAATTTGCTTTAAAGTATAATGTATACTTTTTATTTTATTTTATTTTTAATGCAGCTGAAGTGGGCCAAATCTAATTTCTATGGACTCCTATTAATATGACCAACTAAAACAAATATTAGCTAGCCACCAACATTAACCACCAGTGGTTTGATTTCTCTTAGAAATGGACACATTTGTTCCATTATTTCTTAGTATCTATTCAATCTACAAAATCCTTTCTATCTCAACTCCTAGAACTCTTATAAAGCTATCACAGAGGCTCCGGCTATAAAATAGAATATTTTCTCACTATAAATATGTATGAATGTTGGTCATGTTAGTTAATGCTACAGTGTTGGTCATACTGCTTAAGGCTAGTGCTATATGCTAGTATTTTGGTCCTACTAGTTAAAGTTAGTTATGCTCCTTGCACAGAGCATGTGCAACTTTTCATGCATATATTAAAATCTGATTGAAGCTACACTATGCAGAAAGAACCTGATAATAGTGGATCCACAAGTCTTATAATATTAAAACTCTAAATCATTCAGAGAAGCTGAATCTGGATTAAAGTCAGGAAATACTATTAAGAAATGGAATTCACTACCATAAGAGAACTCAAAGTA